AGCAATACACCTGTTCCCACTGTGTAATTGCGTGACACACCTGTTCCCACTGTGTAGTTGTGTGACACACCTGTTCCCTCTGTGTAGTTGTGTGACACACCTGTTCCCTCTGTGTAGTTGTGTGACACACCTGTTCCAACTGTGTAGTTGTGTGACACACCTGTTCCAACTGTGTAGTTGTGTGACACACTTGTTCCCATTGTGTAGTTGTGCAACACACCTGTTCCCACTGTGTAGTTGTGCGAAAAACCTGCCCACGTCGTGTTTTTGTTTAAAACAATAAGTTATCCTGTATAGTTGAGCAACACATCTGTTCACTGTGTATTAGTGTGACATATTTCTGTCCACCGTGTAGTCATTTAACACACGTGGCTACATTGTGTAGTCGTGTAACACACCTGTCCGTGTTACGTTGTCAGGTAACACATTTCTGGTATTTTGTATTATGATATGGAATGATATAATATATTCTAATACGGAATGGCATGGCGTAATACGGTATGATATAATATTAAAGGTAAGAAATTAAGGAATGGTATGGTATGGTATGGTGTAGTGTGGTATGGTATGGTATGGTATGGAATGGTATGATGTGGTATGGTATGGTGTAGTGTGGTATGGTATGGTACTGGATGGTATGATGTGGTGTGGTATGGTATGGTATGGTATGGCATGGTATTGGATGGTATGGTATTGGATGGTATGATGTGGTATGGTGTGGTATGGTGTAGTGTGGTATGGTATGGTATGATATGGTACGGCATGGTATGATATGGTGTGGTATGGTATGGTATTGGATGGTATGATGTGGTATGGTATGGTGTAGTGTGGTATGGTATGGTATGGTATGGTATGGTATGGTATGGTATGGTATGGTATGGTGTAGTGTCGTATGGTATGGTGTGGTATGGTATGGTATGGTATGGTATGGTATGGTATGGTATGGTATGGTATGATGTGGTATGGTATGGTGTAGTGTGGTATGGTATGGTGTAGTGTGGTATGGTATGGTATGGAATGGTATGGTATTGCAAGCCCCTTTGGATACCTTAAGGCTATGTAAGACACATGTGACCATCATAAGTACTTCGTGGTTAAGTTCTGGACAAGGGTTGAGTGACCTCTGGGTGACCGTTGACTGAGCATAATGAATGGCGTCATTACCATTCAAGGCTCATAGTGATGTTGCTCGCCGTCTGTGACTCATAGAGACGTCACATTGTCCGTTGATTGTCGCACCATTTCTCACTGTCTGTCGACCCCCCTCCCCATGACGTCACTCATGAATCGTTGCACTCTCCGGCCACAGAGTCCAGCATCTTGGCGAGGATCTCTCGCTGTTCCTGACGGCTAAAGCCATGACCCGACACCTCAGTGATGTCACTCACTGCCCCATGGCCTCTTTCACGTCACTCGCTGTCTGCTGCCTTCATTGACGTCATTCACTGCCCCCCCACACACACACACAGCAACGCAAGCACG